AGTAACGTGTGTAGGTACTGATGGTAGTGTGCTGAGAGTAACGTGTGTAGGTACTGATGGTAGTGTGCCGAGAGTAACGTGTGTAGGTACTGATGGTAGTGTGCCGAGAGTAACGTGTGTAGGTACTGAGTGTGCCGAGAGTAGTGTGCCGAGAGTAACGTGTGTAGGTACTGATGGTAGTGTGCCGAGAGTAACGTGTGTAGGTACTGATGGTGTGTCGAGAGTAACGTGTGTAGGTACTGATGGTAGTGTGTCGAGAGTAACGTGTGTAGGTAAGTTTGCCGTGTACTGTACTGGTAGTGTGCCGAGAGTAACGTGTGTAGGTACTGATGGATAGTGTGCCGAGAGTAACGTGTGTGTGTAGGTACTGATGGTAGTGTGTCGAGAGTAACGTGTGTAGGTACTGATGGTAGTGTGCCGAGAGTAACGTGTGTAGGTACTGGTAGTGTGCCGAGAGTAACGTGTGTAGGTACTGATAGTAGTGTGCCGAGAGTAACGTGTGTAGGTACTGATGGTAGTGTGCCGAGAGTAACGTGTGTAGGTACTGATGGTAGTGTGCCGAGAGTAACGTGTGTAGGTACTGATGGTAGTGTGCCGAGAGTAACGTGTGTAGGTACTGATGGTAGTGTGCCGAGAGTAACGTGTGTAGGTACTGATAGTGTGCCGAGAGTAACGTGTGTGTAGGTACGTGTGTAGGTACTGATGTAGTGTGCCGAGAGTACGTGTGTGCCGAGAGTAACGTGTGTAGGTACTGATAGTAGTGTGCCGAGAGTAACGTGTGTAGGTACTGATGATAGTGTGCCGAGAGTAACGTGTGTAGGTACTGATACTGAGAGTACGTGTGTAGGTACTGATGGTAGTGAGAGTAACGTGTGTAGGTACTGATGATAGTGTGCCGAGAGTAACGTGTGTAGGTACTGATGGTAGTGTGCCGAGAGTAACGTGTGTAGGTACTGATGGTAGTGTGCCGAGAGTAACGTGTGTAGGTACTGATGGTGTGCCGAGAGTAACGTGTGTAGGTACTGATGGTAGTGTGCCGAGAGTAACGTGTGTAGGTACTGAGTAACGTGTGTAGGTACTGGTAGTGTGCCGAGAGTAACGTGTGTAGGTACTGATGGTAGTGTGCCGAGAGTAGGTACTGTGTGTAGGTACTGATGGTAGTGTGCCTGATGGTAGTGTGCCGAGTAACGTGTGTAGGTACTGATGGTAGTGTGCCGAGAGTAACGTGTGTAGGTACTGATGGTAGTGTGCCGAGAGTAACGTGTGTAGGTACTGATGGTAGTGTGCCGAGAGTAACGTGTGTAGGTACTGATGGTAGTGTGCTGCCGAGAGTAACGTGTGTAGGTACTGATGGTAGTGTGCCGAGAGTAACGTGTGTAGGTACTGATGGTAGTGTGCCGAGAGTAACGTGTGTAGGTACTGATGGTAGTGTGCCGAGAGAGTAACGTGTGTGTGCCGAGGTACTGATGGATGGTAGTGTGCCGAGAGTAACGTGTGTCGGTACTGATGGTAGTGTGCCGAGAGTAACGTGTGTAGGTACTGATGGTAGTGTGCCGAGAGTAACGTGTGTAGGTACTGATGGTAGTGTGCCGAGAGTAACGTGTGTAGGTACTGATGGTAGTGTGCCGAGAGAGTAGGTAACGTGTGTGCCGAGAGTACGTGTGTAGGTACTGATGGTGTGTCGAGAGTAACGTGTGTAGGTACTGATGGTAGTGTGCCGAGAGTAACGTGTGTAGGTACTGATGGTAGTGTGCCGAGAGTAACGTGTGTAGGTACTGATGATAGTGTGCCGAGAGTAACGTGTGTAGGTACTGATGGTAGTGTGCCGAGAGTAACGTGTGTAGGTACTGATGGTAGTGTGCCGAGAGTAACGTGTGTAGGTACTGATGGTAGTGTGCCGAGAGTAACGTGTGTAGGTACTGATGGTAGTGTGCCGAGAGTAACGTGTGTAGGTACTGATGATAGTGTGCCGAGAGTAACGTGTGTAGGTACTGATGATAGTGTGCCGAGAGTAACGTGTGTAGGTACTGATGGTAGTGTGCCGAGAGTAACGTGTGTAGGTACTGATAGTGTGACACAGTTGTGTCTTTCCCTTCCCCAAGCATAGATTTGCCTAAATCGGAACTCAGTATATAACATAATGGTTGTAAATTCATTGATTGTGTTTAACAACACGTCCAGTGATGTAACAAATTATTAGTAATGAGTTTGTTTATTAAACAATATTGTCAAGTCAAGCCGCACGATTATATTTCATTAAACAACATAATAGGAACACTTCATTATCTTATTGCTGGCTATTCATATGTGACGATAGGTTGCTTAATCACTCTTCTAGCGAAGCTAAAGCAGGTTTTCTATCTTTCTTTTAACGAAACAGAATCTCTTTTTGTCAACTGCTTTCTCCAGCGTCTAGGCATTGACTGTCCTGATCTCTCCCCTACGTCGCCTCATTTCCTCACCAGCCTCTTCTCTCTTCCCGGCGGGGGTTACCAATCGCCGCCTGTCACCCTTCATCCTGTTGCATCTTTTCGTCTTCAGGTAGGTGTTTGCATTACTCGATGCTCTCGTGGTTTGTCTCATCTATCTGACACCTGCGTCCTTCCTCGTTGAGAACTTGCCGACCTCAGTCTCTCTAGTGCATCTTCGTGTGGTCTTTTCTGACCAGCGTTCTAATCTAGTTTCTTGGCTTGCCCCCTTATTATGCGTATACATCCGTCGATGTCAAATGTCACAGCTTTGTTTGAATAAACGCACTCGATTCAACTCTCCTAACCCTATTTCACCACAATGGTCTGCCGAGAGTACCGTGTGTAGGCATTAATGGTGTGGCGTGAGCAACGTGTTTAGAGTCGATTTGTTGTTGACTTCAGGTTTCCGGTCACTTTTAAATAGAAAGTTCAAAAATGTTATAGTTTTCTTGAAACGATACTGAAATAACATTCAGGGTTAATAAATAACAAAATAATATTTAAAAAAAAAAAAAAAAAAAAAAAAACGACAGGAAAAAAGGCGACGATATCGTTGCCATGAATGTGTAAAGCCGAACATTTCCAACCCCAAAATCAGCACACTCCATGCGAATACACTTCTAAGCGCGCTCTAGCCTGCGCGCTTACACACACACACACACGAACACGCACACGCACACGCGCGCACACACACACTTATGTATGTTAATGTCAATAAACCAGTAAACAGAACTGACCCCCAGTTGAAGATCCAGCTTGAGCAAATCCTGGAAGAGCAGAAGGGTGAGGTAGAATGCTTGCAGGCTGGCGTTGGCTCCAACTGTGCGGAATATCAGTCTTCTAGAGACGTAATAGGTGCAGATGATGCCGATTCCCGGGATGACCAACACTGGGCAGAAGACAGCAGTAACCGTCAGTCGAGCCTGTGGGAGGATCAGTGACATCTGCTGACAGATCACGACAACAACTGACATAAATCACCCTGTGTCTATTGCTCACCATTGGTACACATTCTCTGAATACGAAGTGACTCGTCATAGATTCTGTGGCAGTCCAAAAACAGAAGACGTTTCTGTCTGACTTCTGTCACACAGAGTTGTTGCACGAGCTTATTAAATGTAGATTGCCAGTTTTACTTCTTCTCCTCCGTGCTGTTATTATGGCTGGAAAAAGTTGAGGAGTTTGACACCATTGTATCGAGGAGTTTGGCACAATGGTATCAAGGAGTTTGACACCATGGTATCGAGCAGTTCGACACCATGGTATCGGGGAGTTCGACACCATGGTATCGGGGAGTTCGACACCATGGTATCGAGGAGTTTGGCACCATGGTATCTAGGAGTTTGGCACCATGGTATCTAGGAGTTTGGCACCATGGTATCTAGGAGTTTGGCACCATGGTATCTAGGAGTTTGGCACCATGGTATCGAGGAGTTTGGCACCATGGTATCTAGGAGTTTGGCACCATGGTATCTAGGAGTTTGGCACCATGGTATCTAGGAGTTTGGCACCATGGTATCTAGGAGTTTGGCACTATGGTATCGAGGAGTTTGGCACCATGGTATCTAGGAGTTTGGCACCATGGTATCTAGGAGTTTGGCACCATGATATCTAGGAGTTCGACACTATGGTATCTAGGAGTTTGGCACCATGGTATCTAGGAGTTTGGCACCATGGTATCGAGGAGTTTGGCACCATGGTATCTAGGAGTTTGGCACCATGGTATCTAGGAGTTTGGCACCTTGGTATCGAGGAGTTTGGCACCATGGTATCGAGGAGTTTGGCACCATGATATCTAGGAGTTCGACACCATGGTATCTAGGAGTTCGACACCATGATATCTAGGAGTTCGACACCATGGTATCTAGGAGTTCGACACCATGATATCGAGGAGTTTGGCACCATGATATCTAGGAGTTCGACACTATGGTATCTAGGAGTTCGACACCATGATATCTAGGAGTTCGACACCATGATATCTAGGAGTTCGACACCATGATATCTAGGAGTTCGACACCATGATATCTAGGAGTTCGACACCATGATATCTAGGAGTTCGACACCATGGTATCTAGGAGTTCGACACCACGATATCTAGGAGTTCGACACCATGGTATCTAGGAGTTCGACACCATGATATCTAGGAGTTCGACACCATGATATCTAGGAGTTCGACACCATGGTATCTAGCAGTTCGACACCATGATATCTAGGAGTTCGACACCATGATATCTAGGAGTTCGACACCATGATATCTAGGAGTTCGACACCATGGTATCTAGGAGTTCGACACCATGATATCTAGGAGTTCGACACCATGATATCTAGGAGTTCGACACCATGGTATCTAGGAGTTCGACACCATGGTATCGAGGAGTTTTGAACCATGGCGTCGGTGACATTTGTCTCAGAAATATCAGACACAACTAAACAGAAGGATGGGGACAGACATGTTTGACACTATAACATGGCTGGAACTGGAGGAGCCATATGAGAAGTCACATACCAACAACAAGGATGACCAGCGAC